GATTTGCACAGAAGTCTTGTGGAAAATCTTGGATTTGGGAACATCCTTTATCACTGTATCAATCCAAGATTTTAGCCAGGAGTCTTGTGGGAATCTTGGATCTTGGATCTTGGTTTATCCAAGATTTTAGCCAGGAGTCTTGTGGGAATCTTGGATCTTGGTTTATCCAAGATTTTAGCCAGGAGTGTTGTGGGAATCTTGGATCTTGGATCTTGGTTTTGATCAAGAATGCATTCTGAATGCATTGAATGCATTCTGAATGCATTCCTTCCAAAGTGGACAAACAAGTCATGCAACCTACGTGCGTGCACAAAATATACATATATATATATATATATATGGTACCCCAAAAACTAAGGTCCAAAAGGCCGCCAAAAATAGACACAACATATTGCAAATACCAGCAAAAGTGAGGTGAACATAGTTTTTTTTTGGGGGGGTACCATATCTCTATATATATATATATATGTGCCCTAATTCAATATGAGCTTCAAACTCGGGGCCATCCCTCCACAGTGATAATGAAAAAAGCTCGAAATCACAGCAAGGCGCGAGAAGGGTCTAGGCTTGTAATATTAACTTTGCAGTCGTTCTGGTAGTATCTGCATGGCCATGATGATCCATCCACGGTTGCTGTGCATGTAGCTGGGCAAAGCAAGGAGCCTCTTGCTACCGCTGTTGCAGCCGCTACCACAAGCAAAAATATCGGCATGGCCGATGGCAAAAAGAAGCGACAATTTGGAGCGAAGGAAGTTTGAGGAACTGTGTCCACAGGTGGAACACTGGTGAAGCTGTCGAGGCTATTTCCCTCGATCTGGCCAAAGGCTGCGGAACACATCTTCAGCCTTCAGCTCGACCAAGCATGCGCTGGAGACACACGCAAAGAAGGAATGTGTTTAAAGAAGGACTGCATCTATGGATGTGCTGTTTACACTTCAGAAAGACCCACCACGCCCTGTGCACGTTCGTATTGTCTTCAACCAAAATCCGTCCGAATCCTTCAACCCAACTGATTCTACCGACAGACTCGCTCATCTTTTCTTACGGATACAGAAAATCCGATGTGAGCTGTGGGAAGCTGCCGACTCCTCCACTGCCTCGCAAGCATACGACGTAGACACCAAAAAGACACGCGCAAATCTACGCAAACCTCACAGCCTGAAGTGGCAAAGTCCAGATCCTGAAGTGGCAAAGAGACGAAAACACACAGCACCACACCTCGACACCGGCCTCGGCCTCTGCAGCACCTTGATGAACGCTAGCGAAGTGAATACCTTCGACAGTGTCCCACCGCGCGAGTCGTTGAGTGTCCCACTCCGTGGCCTCTGCGGTTGAAGGCTTTGAGCAGCAAATGCAGATCGTCAAGATCCATTGCAAAAGCACGCTCCCGCAACATAGACTCCTCTTTCAGCACCTTCAGCTCACTCACACTCATTAGTGACATGAAACCCATTACATGAAACTGGTTCAGTCTTGGCGACAAAGTTAGCGAAAACTGCAGTAGGATCACTTGAAGATCCAAAAGCACTATTTAATATGCTGCCAGGCATGCTTGAGACCAAACATCATACATGGCAATCCCCCCAGACCTTCTGGTTGAAGACATGGAATTCTTAGATTTAGTTCTTGCCCAACGTTGCACAACTATATATCCCTCTTGTTTTGCCAAACACTCCTAAGTTCAAGAGTCAAAATACCCCAAACAAGTTTCCCAAATATCTTGGATCAATCGACCTTTTCTTGGGACTTGCATACGTATACATGCACAAGATCCTCGTTCTGAAACAGTTCCCTTCCAAGTCACACGATCCACCATACACTTTCATAACAAACAGCTGAGCAAACAAGGGATGTCATACTAGTTCATGGGTAGTCCCAGAGCTTTGCTGTTTAAGGAAGTGCATAAAATCCAAGTATATCAGGGTGCCTTTAGTGCATAGTCCAACGGTGTGGACTTAGAAGCTGCTATTTATTGGCGGTGTTCGGAGTTCGGTATCGCTTTGGGGTTTGGAGATCTACAGCCCCATCCGATTGATACTATAGTCTGGTAAGAGCTATGTCTTTTGAGTTCCACAACGGAGATCTATAACACTTGAAACAGCAAAGTTGTCGCTCTTAGGTTCTGAGGAGATTTGTCTTGTAGTCCAAATAAATTTTTTGGATGGAAACCACAATTGTCTTCCTGAGGGAGGGTACAATAGCACATATATATATATATATATGAACGTGTCGCCGCAAATTCCCTTTAAAATTGGACAAATTTCCTGGTGGATCATGAAAAGCAACACACCTTATAAACAATGAGATCGTTCTTGGGAACCTCTTTGACTTTGATAGGTCAGAACATATATACATACAAGAAACCAAAACGAATGCAATCGGCAATACATAAGGCACAAAAAATGTCCAGAGGTGCTGAGCATACATGTATAGACACACACATATATATATATACACATACATATTGTTTATAAACAACAAACACAACACATGCCTTTCTCATGTCTCGTCTCATTTCTTTCTCAATTGCAATACTCCTGTTCGTTCTTCTTGCTGTTGCTTTTCATCTTGGCGCCGATGAGACCAGCTCCGGAAAGGGGATGGCTGAGGGCTTTGTGCCAGAGAGTGAGCACCACATCCTCAACACACCCAGGGGTTCTGACAAAATTGTGCACAAAGGATGGACAGCATGTTCCGCTACGAGTATTCCACAGTAGATTCATGACTTCAGCCTTCTTTGATGCTATGCTGCTATGCTTTGTCAGTAGTCGGACCCTTGATGTAAAGTTCGTTCGGACTTGGGGGTGGAGCAAACAGCCTAAAATTACATGCTTCACTCTAAACAAGTCTCTTGTAGTTTTGCTCCAGCATGGCTAGCGTCGACCTGATCTTCTGACCATAAAGTCGTAGACATTCATCGATGCCCGTGGACGTTTCAATTAAATGCATTTCTTTTCGATTTGTCATCCTGATCTTCAAGGATTTGTCCAAACTGCGTTTTGCTGAAGTCTTTTGAAGAAAGTTCTGAATTTTTTTTTCTGGGTTGTCGGGCAGCTTCTTGAACTGAGCCCTCAAAGTCTTACGCCGCCGAGAGAAGATGACGCGGATCAATGCGTCCCACTCGTTGAAGTCGACCTGGAAATCACTAAATCAAACGCATATCAGTTATCAGTCTGTCCCTCTTCTCTCTGTATATATCAACCAACACAAAATCTGTCTACCATGCAATTACTCAATCTGATTCAAAGCGATGGAAGGCCTCTGGTGCAGGGACTCGAGGCTCCAAGCGGATCACCGTGGAGTGAATCTCCTTAACAAAATTTTGATTGGCTGCGCAGCGCCGAAAAGCCTCAATCGAATTGAACAAGAAAGGAGTTCAAAAAGGAACGCGAAAACCAAAACGACAATCGCACGGCTGTCTCTCCGGAGAGGGAATGAAGCTCCCAGGCTTCACGTCGAACAATCGCACCGCCTTCGCGAACAGCCGCACGTTCAAGGCCAAGCGCGAAAAGCCTCAATTAATTTCACCAACATACCCATTCAAATGGCAAAACCCTGTTGCCAGAATCGCCACACACCCTCCATGCCTTTTTCACCAGGATCAGACAGCAAGCGGTCTGCAAACTCTCCTGAGTTGGATGTCTGCGGAAGTTCGAAAAAACACGAACACATCCAGATACAAAAAACACAGTTGACATATGATGCCAACAGAACTTGTGGCCCTGGGGCTCTTTAGGCAGCAAAAGCCTGGCCGGGAATCGCAACATGCCATGGCCAAGGGAAAAGGAGAGTGCCAACAGCGCCCCCCAATACCACCCCAACACAGCCAACACACAACCACCCCAGCAACCGCAGCAGCAGCAGCAGCAGCAACAGCCACAACAACAATAACTGTAACCAGCAGCGGCAGCGGCAGCAGCAGCAGCAGCAACAGCCACAACAACAATAACTGTAACCAGCAGCGGCAGCGGCAGCAAGCAGAAGCTACCAAGCAGCAGCAGAAGCAGCAGCAGGAGTAGCTAGCAAGCAGCAGCGCCAGCTACCAAGCAGCAGCAGCAGCAGCTACCAAGCAACAGCAGCATCAGCTACCAAGCAGCAGCAGCAGCAGCAGTAGCAGCAGCAGCAGCTACCAAGCAGCAGCAGCATCAGCAGCAGCATCAGCAGCAGCTACCTAGCAGCAGCAGCATCAGCAGCAGCCACCAAGCAGCAGCAGCAGCATCAGCAGCGGCAGCAGCAGCAGGAGGAGCAGCTACCAAGCAGCAGCAGCAGCAGCAGCAGCAGCTACTAAGCAGCAGCAGCAGCAGCAGCAGCTACCAAGCAGCAGCAGCAGCAGCAGCTACCAAGCAGCACCACCAGCTACCAAGCAGCACCACCGGCTACCAAGCAGCAGCAGCAGGGAAAGAGTGAGCTTTCCTTAGAGTCTTTCGTGCCCCAACATTTGGTCTCGAACAATAGCACATATAGGCGCTGCCTGAGTAATTGTAGAAGGGCGACGTGGAAAGACAGATATATCTGCTTTTTCACGAATAAATGCTGACGATGCAGCCAGCAGCGGTGTGCATGATTGACATCTAGGGGTTGCGTGCGAACATGTGTCAGCGACCGAAGACTCCGTCGCAACGCATGCTCCCTGTCGCTCGAACATGGAACGCGGGCTACCATGAGTGAAGCAAACAGCCCGTTCAAATATCTTACTGGGTTCTGTCATTCATGTGTGTAATAAGTATCATCCTTTGATCTGCATGGATAGCGGATAGTGCATTCTGATTTGTACTCTTGGGGGTTGTGGGGTGGGTACATGCCTGTGCAAGCTTCTTAAGGACATAATGAAATTAGCATCGTTTCACGACTCAACGACCCAGAGGGAATGCAACTACTCTCGATTCTAACGAATAGGCTTTCTTCAGCGCCAACAGCAGCCAACAACCCCAAACAGCAACAGCAGCAAAACGGAGCAGACAACAAGCAGCAGGCAGCCAGCATCCAGCAGCACCAAGCATGCAAGCAGCAAGCAGCAGCAACCAGCAAGCAGCCAAGAGCCAGGCGCAGATGAGATGCCAGCAGCAGCAGCAGCAGCAGCAGCGACCAAGCAGCAGCAGCAGGTACCGAGGAGAAGGGTGGAGTTGAACCCCGCGAGGGGGGGTTATTCAGGACTATTTATCAGGTAACAGCGCTCAGGTCCTGGGCTCCCACCCTCCTTGCTAAAGCAAGACAGACTCCAGCTAGCTACAGCTAGCTTTCGTGATTAAGATGAATTAAGCCAGTTCTTGTTAAGAACACATTGGTTGACATGCGCACATCTGAAGAGATTGCTTCTGATCTAATTCTGTTGCAAGATTTTCGGGAAAAATTAGAAAGGTTCGGACCAGGGAGAGTTAATACAGTCTCTTTAAAGCCATCGCGTGGAACAGGCGGATAAAAACTTTGATGTTGAGATAGATTCGCTTACAGTGTGTTTTTTTGGTGGATGTCCGTCTGCGCAACTTGCTGCTCAAACAAGGTTTGGACCAGGGCGGAAATCAGTCAGTTCTTCCGCACAAAGCCAGGAAACACTAAGTGGCACCCAGGCGGAATTAACTCTGGAATTGAATCTTTGCAGAACAGCTGCAACAATAAAATAAATGTTTTTGGTAGGGCATGAGCATGACCCCTCCATCCCGAACACAAACTCCTCAACACACGCTGTTCCCTTCACGCAAACATGTTCTTGTAAGGCCTTGTGGGGGCCGCGTGGGATCTATGATCCCTTGGGAGACTGGCTTCACTGAAGGCGTTCATCAACCCATTGGTTGCCTCCGTTCCTGTTCTTCCCGAGTGTGGAGAGTTGAGCAGAGCATCTTCTTGATGGTGTATTCGTCCACTAGTTCTCTTCCTTCTTTGGATTCCTAGCAAGGGTAGGGGGTCACTTGCGCGCCGCAGATCATTGGATCACTTGCGCGCCACCGCCTTTTGGACCACCTACACACCACAGATTTGGATCACTTGCGCGCCATGAAAGGGTTGCCAGAATAGATCAGGCACCACAGGTCAGATTAGCCATGGATCACGTGCGCACCATGGATCTCTTCCATATCTGTTTCCTTGACACGTCGATCTTTGTTTCACACATTCACTACCCAATGGTCTCCCTGCACCTTTTCTAGCAGATCCTGCAACGCACATGCGATCCAATTTCGCGGCGCGCGAGCGATCCAATTTCGCGGCGCGCAAGCGATCTAAACAGGCCTCATGAGAGAAGCGCCATCGCGCATTGGCTGGATCAATGCGTTTCACTGACGTAAGTTGGCGTGTTTTCAGACGTAGCTTCAACACTGCCCGAAGCATCCGAGGAGCCTTGCGCAAGCGCCAGTGTGGAGGTGGCCGAACAACGGGCGTAAGTGCCTGCTCGCGTCTGCTCAGCCTGCGCGGCAGTTTCTGCTTGAGAACCACCGACGCAAAAGCAATTTCAACAGGAAGTTGCAACATTGTACATATACCGGCGCGGGCAGGCCGACTTCTGCGCCCCTTAAAGACTTGGTGGTTGATCGACCTTCTCGCAATCCCATGAAGCAGCGCCGTTGAAGCGTGATTTAAGTGCTGCATCTCATATCATTCCATCCCGCGGTGGGGCGCATACCGGGTCTGATGCAATAGCCAAGTTTAGCAAAGGCTACCAACATAGAAAGGAGGAATAGCCCCCCCCAAAGCAGCAAGGAGCGCGCTCTTTTCTGCCCAGCCAATGGGACAAAATGCGGTATGGTCAACGAACTGGTGCAAGGAGAACATCGAGCGCCAAACCGAACCAACCGCCGCATGGGCATAGCATATGCCCACAACATGTACCCAGCATGGGCGCAACATATTTCCCCAACCCAAAGCACGCCAGTGGGCGGGGCGTGCAGAAGACTTGCCTGCACCAATGCCGGCGCAAAAGAAACCACAGGGGCAACAGACTTTGTACCCTGAAGACGTGCAAAGAAAAATGCACGCGAGAAAACATAAACTAGCTAGTGCCCTAGTCCCTTAGATGGACACTGGTCCACCTCACGGGACTGATGCAACAGCTAAGTTTAGCAAAGGCTGCCAACAGACGAAGTAAGAACAACCCCCCAAGACAGCAAGGAGCGCGCTCTTTTCCGCCAAGGCAATGGTACAAATTTGGTACGGTCAACCAACCGGTGCAAGGGGAACGTCGAGCACCAAACCGAACCAACCGCCACATGGGCATAGCATATGCGCAAAACATGTGCCCAGCATGGGCGCAACCAGTTTCCCCAAACGCAGTCGGCCCCTGCTGCTCTGCTTGCGCGCAACATACAGCTTTGTCTTATATCCTCGTAGAGTGCGGTGCCCGCCTCTAGCGTATCTTGTCGCGCAATGCCCTTGTAGTCGCTGAAAGAAAACCTTACATGCAGCGCTGGCCCGAAGCCCCGAAACATTCATTGCTGAGGCTGTCTGCGTCTATTCTGGAGGCTTGGCAACCAATCCAAGTGGAGCTTCAAGCATCTCCGTCATTTGTCCGCAGATGAGCCTCCCGGAGAGGCCCGCGCTCCAGCACCTGGCCAGCGTTTCCAAAGATGCAATTGCCCTGAAGGGTTCGCGTGCAAGGAGTGCCCATGGTGCATTTTCTCTGATCAGCTTTTCGCTAGACCGCCTGCAACTCTTGGGGTTGAGGCTGTCTGCGACGCACCAACCGCCTACCCAAAGTCCATTCACTCGCGCGCGTGTATGGAAAAGCCCCGTTTCTTTCACTGGATGCACTATCAACTTTTTGTATTCGCTTCAGGACAAGCATTTGCTTCAAAAACGGCAGCGACAGCCTGATCGCCTTTGGTATAGGAAGCACTGCTTTGTCTCCCGCTGCGGCTGTCCAATGCAAATAGGGCCCAAAAATGGTCGCAGTGATTCCAAGGCAGCAAATGAAAAATGCAACCTCCCAAGGACACGCGCTAATTCAGAGATCTTGACGGTTTTCTGCTCCAGGGTTTCTGAAATCCAAGTTGTGAGCCATCTTGCCCGGCCCTCGCTGACGCCAACGCCACTGCTCTTCAAGTCAATGTGGTAGCCAACCCAATCGACTTGGGTGCCCCCAGGGCATTTTTCCATGAGAGCGGTAAACCAAGAGCCACAAGGAAAAGAAACGTGACTGCCACATCTTCCAGCGCAGCGCCGCCGCGCACCAGCTATAAAATGTCATCCGCGTGTGTGCGCATGAATAGCTCACTACAGATAATGAGCCGCGCGTTGCAGTCCACTCATGGGTCGAGCCCAATGCACTGCAGCGCTCGCCGCCCCAAAGGAACCCACAGTGTTGAGCCGATTTTCTCGCGCTCTGCAAGCTTGTTCGCCCCAATCTGCGTCCCTCACTTTGACAAGTCTGTGTGCCCGGCTGACATCACCCTTCAATGCAAAAGTCGCGCCGCCCAACTCCTGCAATGCTTGTCGCAAATCCCCTGCTGTTGGCGATTGCATCTGGTCTCGCGCAAGGATGTTACCACTGATCTTCTCCTTTTTGTTGCAGACTGCAGGGACACGAGGCAGCTTTGTGTCTACCCCTAATGCGACGCCCTGGGCCAAGAACTCCTCAACCATGCCAAGCCTAGAGGGTTGTCTCTCAGGCGCTTCATCGAGATCTATCGCTGCGCCGCGCGCCGAAAGAATCTCTTTCAAAGCAGGCCGGGCCTCTGTCAGCACCGTGTCACTGAATGGTGAAGACTGAAGCTTTTTGCAAGCCAACCGCAGCAGCAAATCCCTCGGGGCAACATGGGCGCATACAATCTGCTTCAGCATAGTTTGGCTCTTCTCTGCTACGCCTGTCGCTGCAGGCCTGTCGCCTGGCCTCCAACGCCAGGTGAAAACAACCCTCCACCATCGACAAAAAGCCGTGTCCGTCCCATCTGCTTCGAAAGCAAAGGAGGACCGCGACCTCCATGATGCTTTGCCAAAGAAGGCGCACCATCCTCACCCTCTGATGAGTCTGGGCTGGGCTGTTAACCATGCACTGCCAGGCCAGCCGCTTAGACACCCCAGCCGCAGGCGATTGCAAGCCGTCAGCGCTCGTCAGCTCCTAGTCACTGCTTGACGACCTCATTCTTGGCTGGACAAGACTTCTTAACGTGGCCCGGTTTCAAGCAAAGCTGGCAGACATGAGCGTAGCCGCAACCCCCCAACAAGTAAAAAAGGATTTCCAGCCCAAACGCAAACTCCTCAACACACGCTGTTTGCTGCTTCTTTCGCGCAAACATGTTCTTGTAAGGCCTTCTGGGGCAGCATGGGATCTATCATCCCTTGTCATTGAAAAAGGGCCGTTTACAAATGCAAAAACGACCTGTGAATCAAGCTCAGAGGTTTCGTGCCAAAATCTGGGAATTCTTTAACCAAGACACATGAAAAGAGTTTCTGGAGTTAATTCCTGGAACTGAGCCAGCAACCCCAGAAAAGTACTCTGGAAAACTCCTTTTCCATCTGATTACTTGGCCCTTAAAGAGCTGGACAATTGAGCAAGTTTCTTTTTCACTTCCCTTGAGGATCTTACGGCATAGACACCTTAAAACCCGTATGACATCAATCTTGGTTTGCCTCTCCAATCTTTAATACCACAGGTCATGAGCAATCACCCTCCTGAACCCTGTATTTCACACATACCCTCCAATCCTTCATGCCACGTGTCTTTGGAGCATCAGCACCGCCGCTCTCCAGGGATGGCCCTCACTGATCCTTCTGAGCAGTCTGAAAATAATGGGCGCAGAGATTTTGTAAGGCCTTAGTCAGTCTCGCCGAAAAAAGGGACGACAAATCTGCTGACACATCGACACAAAAATCCGTGCCAATCGCCCAATCGCTACGATGTGCTGAGATTCAAACAAATTCGACCTGTGCGGTCGACACGCATGAAACATACCAACGCAAAGCGCACCACTGGGAATCAAACACACAAACATCAAAGCGCCGTGGCATAGGGACACGCAAGGCATCACCCACCAAGGCCTGCACGAATCTTACCGGCTCGTGCCAACATCACGCAACAAATCCACAAGTCCATTTAATGCACGTTCTACCTGGCATTTTCTTGCTTCTCATGTTCTGTGGCGTTGAACCTCTGGCTTGACGTTCTCTCCGGTAGAAACCGCTCCTCCAAGTTCTGGAAACCGCCGCTCTGAGCGCGGGATTTGGTCTCCTCCACCATGCGAAGTTCCGTGTCGACGGTGTAGACCTGTCGGAACGACATCGGTACGTGTCGACGTAGACCACGACATTCGCCACTCCGGCCTTCCGTGCCAAAGGCAATAGCCTCATGGTGAGCTCCCCAGTGCCGCAGCCCACCTCACCAACCGGGGTCGAACCGAAATCTGGCCTCTGGCTTGTTTACAAATGGATTGGTTCGGAGGTAGCTTTGAAAAATGCAGAATCGCGAAAGGGCCTCATAGACAGCATCAGAGGCTTGGATATCCGCGGCTTCCACAATCTTGTAGATCACACCTCCAGAAAGCACATCCATCCATCATGCTGCTTGGTGGTGCTAGCGGATCACAGGTGCAATCGGCATGAGCATTGCGACTGGGTGCCTGGTGTGTGAGACATTCTACAAGATTTGCAATCAACAATCCTTTGCAAGCCCCCCCGGAATGATAGATTTTTTGTGGCCGATGCACTTCACGAGTGAACGAGCTGGCTAGTCAGTCCCAAAATCAAACCACGCCATGAGAGTGACGGGGGCCTATTGCTTGATCAATGCCTCCCTGGTTCAACGCCGGAAACTATCTTGATCCATACATCTTAGATTTTCTTGCTGTCCTTCTCTATTTTGCTTTTCCTCTTTTCACCAAGCGGACGACAAACGAATCCTGAGCAGCAAAAGCGTGTTCAGCTTCCCGACTGTCATCTCGTTTCGTTCCGGCACCTTGGTTGTGTAGAAGGTGTTGCCCACGTGTCCGCGAGAGCGGCAAGCCCGTGGCAGGATGCAACTGGCGAGTGGGAGAAACGAAAAAAGCGAAAAAGAAAAAAAACACGTTTTGAAGTTCGCTTCTAGTAACAAGTGCCTTACTAGTAGTAACAAGAAGCTACTAGGAACAAGTGCCACGCTACTAGGAACAAGTGCCTTACTAGTAGTAACAAGAAGCTATTAAATTCAATTAATTTTAATTCTAATAGCTTTTTGTTACTACTAGTAAGGCACTTGTTACTACTAGCGTGGCACTTGTTACTAGTAGTAACAAGAAGCTACTAGGAACACGACGGTGACGCCGTCACGGTTTCAAGTCGCTCCGGTGACGTCGTCCCGTCCCGGCACCTTGGGCGCCAAGGGGGTGGGCTTTCGCAATGGCAAGGCCCTGGCTAGGCCCCGAACAGGTTCGTTTGATCTCGTTCTCAGGTGTCTCATGGTGTCTCTATTTGCACAAGGCAATACTAAGCATAAGTCGGCAATGGTTTAAATGATAAGGTCTTGATGTCATTGCTCTTCATCGTCAACTTCCCTCACCTCGAGCTGCGGACGCAAGGTCTCATGCACATTGTAAACGCCAAGGCATCCGCGTCCAAGGCAGCATCTCTGTCGGCATCATCTTTATCAGCACATTGTGCTGTGAGCGGTTTAAGTGGTCGTCAATCTGGCCAATCGGTCTACGTTGGTCATGGTTTTAGCACACCTGCTTGTGTCTTCGACTGCCTCTTCCCTCGCTTCTTGTGGGAAATATAACGGCACGCTCACATTCACTATTTCAGCTTAACCTTCTCTACGAACACGTGGGTGATGCCTTTCATGCAAAACCTGGCAACCATGTCACAGGCAAGCGTTTCGTTACACAGTTGCCATCTTCCACGGAAGCTGGGAGTTCACATGCGCCAAAGGGTCAACGATGATCCCTTTCTTTGTCGGCGCTCAAGCCTGCTGTGGATCCTTTGTACAACGTGTCACCAAGTTGACACAACTGGCATCTTTGGCCAGATCCGGGGTTGAGCAAGGAGTCAAACATCACAATGTCTTCAATGTCGTTTTAATTACTAGTAACATGAAGCTACTAGGGGCTCCTGGCATCGCTACTAGGAACAAGGACGCTACTAGGGGCTCCTGGCCTTACTTAGGAGCAAGAACACTACTAGGAAATGTCGTTCGAAGCCTTTACCGCCAAAGCTTCACCAGGCCGTCACGGCCCGCCGTCACCAGGATGTCCTGGCCGATGGCTGTGACATGACAAGTGAAAACAAACAAATAAACACATGAACATTTCGTATTGTTAAGGTGCACATACATCAAACTTCAGATCCCGGGGGCAATCTCGTGAAAGAATTGCTTAGCATTCGCTGGCAAGCTTTGGGCTTTGGGAGCTCAAACTGTGCCAGCTGCTCGTGCTGCAGCGAGATGGTGCACCTCAAACTCAAGCAGTTCCAGCAAAAGTCTGCGTTTCATGCTACTAGTAAGAATGCTCCTAGTAGCGATGCCAGGAGCCCCTAGTAGCTTCTTGTTCCTAGTTGTTTCACCAGGTTTCACTTCACATTCATCACTATTGTCTCAAGTCGTCTCATACAACTTGGTGCATGCAACTAGATCGGGCAGCAACCGCACCGCCCCTTCAGCTCCGAGCATATCGAGAATGGCATCTCGATGATTGGGACTTGGCTTATTGCTTGGCTCCTATGCACAAAGGCTAACCGCCTTGGAAATCTAGTTGCATGTCAACATACTGGAACCTGGTATGCCACTGGTATGCCATACTGGAACCGCCTTTCTCACCCTTACGGCTTACGGTCTCGAATCGGTTTTTTCGAAACGCTCTCCTCTCGAGCTTCCACCGTTGAGCTCTCCTGTGGAAGCAGACGGATTCGACGGATCCGAAGCAAATGAGATCGGATTCGTCTACCTCATTTTGTGACCTCTGCTTCTTAGTGGAGTTCAGAGGATATTGAGACGTCTCTTGAGTGTTCAATCAGATCTGGCTTCCAAATTTGTTCTGTTGAACCTCTTGGAAAAAGCAACCTAACACATAATTACCTTCATTCCACTGCACCCACACCCAAATTAGCCAAAGCGGGGTTTCCTTGGCACTCAAACACGACAAACAACTCTGTGCTGATCAACTCAGCCATTTTCACATCCTGCCGCTCACAGTGACGCTCAACGTTTCTTTTGCATTCTTTTGCTCGTTTTGGGCGTGACAAACGGCCACGCAGGCCAAGGCGATGCGGAGCCTCAAAGCGAGCTCACAATCGTTTCAAAAACACACACATTTCTTGCTCCTAGTAGCTTCTAGCTACTAGTAGTAATGGCCTCCAACCTATTAGCGATGGCCTCCGACCTAGTAGCTTCTCTTGTCGTTTGCCTCACCTCCACCGCTTTCTCCGCTTCCTCTGCTTCTGCTTGTTTCTCTGCTTCCTCTACTTCCTCTGCTTCCTCTTCCTCGAATCGGAGTAATGGCATCAACTATATTTTGTCTTTAATCTCAGCCTTTCCATATCTCAAACTATCTTGGTCTCAAAACTGGCTCTTCCTCCAACAATTCCTTCCATTGCTCGTCCCAGGAGTCGTAGCCCTGTCGTGGAACGCAAAGCGAAACAACTCATAACTTCAATATGGTTCAATGCTCTTCTGCCAGCCTCTGATGTTTGCTCAGACTCCAAAGCTGCCTCCTTGGCAAACATGGAATTATGGGATCAATGAGGGTCAAATACATTGAATCAGTATGGAATCATCTTCATGTATACCTCCACCTTTGGATTTTTGTTGCTGCCATTGTGGGGACTTTGTTGCCGCCCAACAAATTGACGAACGAAGACAGAATTGAACACGAAGGCTTGGAAACCATCGACGATTTGGAAACAGCCTTGACGGCCTCGTCGGCAGCCTCGACGGGCTCGTCCTCGTCCGAAATGGACGGATCAGATTTGTTGCCGAGACTTTCACTCTACCGGGTCTCTACCGCTTTGCTTTGTTTTTCTACCGTGCCTGTGCCTCTTGCATCGACTCATTTGCACAAAACATCACAAAACCGCGCATGCTTGGTTCTTTGGTGGAGAACGCGACCCGAACATACGGCAACGTTTCACTGGGGATGATTGAAAGCGCTTACTATGTTCTTTCCAACATGAACGTTGCTACCCACCCGTTGTTTTAAGTAATTAACCGATATTAACAGCCATCCGACATTTGAGATCATTTGAGCACAAAAGCTGTCTTAAGACCCACAAGACTTCGAGTCTGAATCTACGCCGACATCTCCAGAAAGAATTACCCCATTTCGGCCCAAAGACTTGCCTCCAGCTTCTGAATCTGGACCTGGCAACGATCTCTTGTCAAGATCCTGTCAAATCCTAAGTCAAAGGACGCTATTAGGGGCTCCTGGCATCGCTACTAGTAGCAAGGAAGCTACTAGGGGCTCCTGGCCTTACTACTAGGAGCAAGAAGCTACGAACGTAGCTCGTTTGAGGATGCATTCGGTGCCTTTGGCCCAAGACCCATCAACTCTTCTTGAAGCGCTGCTGCCAGGTCTTGAGGCACCCAAACCACTGCCTGGAGTAAACGGAACGGGGCTCTAAGGGCGGTTGGAGAAGAAACTGGAAGGCCTCGGGGTTACACCTCATGGCAACATGAAAGCGCAATCTCCATATATTCTGACACAGTTGCCAAAGAATGCAAAAGTAGCATTCGGAAGAAATGCCACGCTTCTAGATTGATGTAGATCAAACAATCACACCCAAACACAAGAAACCTACAGAAATCAGTAGCAACCTGTAGAACCTTGAAAGATACGATACCAAAGACAAAAACACTTTGAAATAGGAGGGGGTGAACGAAAGGCAGCTAGCAGGCAAGCCGGGTGCTTGTTGAGCTGGCTTTGTACAAACCTCAAAAAGACATGTTTCACCAATGTTCTATGTCAAGATCCTGCGTGGAGTGGAGCAAACAAATTGGGTCCATTCGAAGATATTTATAGACTTTATAGTGTTAGTTCTTGTTGCTTCTGGAATAATTCCCTTTCTGAAAGGCTTGAATCGATTAACACGAGTCAATTCCTTCTCCAGTTGGATCGAAGCTGAGATGCAGAAAATGCATGGGCACAGGATTGGCCCAGTGAAGAGTTCTTTAGACACGCAGAACGAGAATACGCGGCAAACCTCGGCGCTGCCATCCGCTGCGAAGCTTGGCTCTTTCATGACGGTTTGCGTGGTCTCAACCACTCGGTAGAGTGCGGAGACCTGGCGAAACTCAAAGCCACCATGTTTTTCAATAAAAAAACAACTGTATCTTGTGAAACCGGAAACAGTTCGGAGTCTTGCAGTCCAAGTGTTTCTTTCCGAAGCATCCAGCTCATTGTTATCAAGTTTCTAAGGTTTGGTGAATAGTGCGAATGTTTTGGAATCGTTTTGCGGATCTCGATCTTGCGCCTGTGAGGCTGGAATGTTTAAAATGCGTAGCCGCAAGCCATCAACCAACTCCTTGGTTCATTTTCGCAGCTTGGGCGTTTCAGCGTATCCACAGAGAGCGCGCTTCTTAAGTTTCCAAAATCTAGGAACCAATCATTGGTGCGAACGCTATCCTGCGTCCTAGGTAGGAACGAACTTATCCTAGTAGCTTGTTTAGTCTCCTTTACTTGATTAAGTCGGCGCCTACGTAATTAAGGAGGCAGGGCCACGGGCTGAAAAAAAGAAAGTAATTATCCCGGCAAGAGACCCCAAACAGTGTGTGTGAGGTCTATAAGCAGAAAGTCTAGAGATCTAGACGCATGGTCCAGAGAGGTGAAGGTGGTGATCAAGGTGGGGATCGTGGTGACGGTGGCGGTGGTGGTGAGTGAGAGTGAGAGTGAGTGTGGGTGAGAGTGAGAGTGTGGGGTGTGAGCGAGAGTGGGAGAGTGAGCGTGTGAGCGCGAGTGTGAGTGAGAGTGAGAATGAGTGTGAGTGAAAGTGAGTGTGGGTGAGTGTGAGAGTGAGTGTGAGTGAGAGTGAAGGTGGGTGAGTGAGTGGGTGAGAGTGAGAGTGAGTGAGGGTGAGAGTGGGAGAGTGAGAATGAGAGTCTGAGTGTGAGCGAGAGGGAGAGTCAGAGTGAGAGTGCGAGTGAGAGTGAGCGAGTGAGTGTGAGAGCGAGCGTGAGCGTGAGTACAGGTGTAAGTGAGTGTGAGTGAGAGTGAGGGTGGGTGTGAGAGTGAGAGTGAGAGTGAGAGTGAGAGTGAGAGTGAGAGTGAGAGTGAGAGTGAGAGTGAGAGTGAGAGTGAGCGAGTGAGAGTGTGAGAGTGAGTGTGAGCGTGAGTGCAAGCGCAAGTGAGTGTGAGTGAGAGTGAAGGTGGGTGTGAGTGAGTGTGGGTGAGAGTGAGAGCGAGTGCGAATGTGAGCGAGAGTTGGAGAGTGAGTGAGTGTGAGTAGTGTGAGTGTGTGTGAGTGAGAGTGAGAGTAGTGAGAGTGAGCATCTGAGAGCACAAAGACTTCGAGGTTTACAAAGTACTGCTCCTGCCACGAAATCTGCGCTTCGAGGTTCACAGAGTACTGCGCCTGCCACGAAATCTGCACTTCGAGGTTTACCAAGTGCTGTGCCTGCTACGAAATCTGCACCTTGAAGTTCACCAGGCGCTGTGCCTGCTATGAAATCTGCACTTCGAGGTTCACCAAGTGCTGTA